CCCCCCCTCTCTCTCTCTCTCTCTCTCTCTCTCTCTCTCTCTCTCTCTCTCTCTCTCTCTCTCTCTCTGTGTGTGTGTGTGTGTGTGTGTGTGTGACGGAATGGCGGTCGTGTGGTACGGAGAAGGCAAAAAGGGAGGAGGTTGACCAGCGATGGAGATTGGTGGCTCCATCTAGACTCTAGAGTAATTCCTGCGTTCAACTTAGAAAGCTAGCATGGGTCTTAGAGGCCTGGGGGGAAGAGTAGGAGGGTAGCAAAGTCATCCCCGGGGCGTGGGTGCAATTAGACCATTAGCGTAACACCTATACCCCTGGGATGGGTAGGCGATTATGTGAACTGCCTAATTGTGATACCACATTCTGCAAACCCTCTCCTTGTGTCTATTTCCACAAAATTCTGACTTTATACTACTAAGAGTGTATAGGAGCTTTCACATCTGAACCACTTGCGTATTCATACTGCACAGCAGTTGGTTGCGGAGCCTGTTGAAGAGTTTTGAATTTCTGCCTCTTGAGCACAGCAGGCTGGGCTGTGTCAGACCCCAGGAGAAAGCTGAGGGGGACAAAGGGGAAGAAACTGGACCCACAGGCCATTCTTGCAACAGTATGTGACTGGAACACAATTGTCCCCTTGCCCCAGAGAACAGAAAGGAGAGGCGAATAAAAGCAAAGAGGGGGGGTGGGGGGGCAGGTGAGGGGTGGAGGGAGTGCCCACGTTAACCCCCCACTGGCCCCAGTACTTGGGACCCATCCTCCATCCTCTCCAGGCCTCTGAACACATTTGAATTTACCTGGGTGCAGCCAGGCCCGTAGATTCCTGAAAGGCCAGTGCATTAACGGGCGCACCATACCTTATTCGAACACTGGCCGTTTAATGACTCTGGGTTTGACAGCATTGCCAGGTAATCGCTGCTGAAGCGCTGTGATGCACATGATTGCCGCTAAAGCACCAGGGACGCATGGCAGTGATGATCACTCTTTGCGACCAAGACTGATATGATATGAGACTAAAATTCAATGAAGTTTCATGAATGAGCCAACTGCGCGGCAAAAGAAAAAAGCAGTTATCAAATACGCAGAAATAACGAGTGCCGCTATCACTGGCGGGGGTACTTAAAAAAAAAAGAAAAAAAAAAAAGAAAACAAAGAAATAACGAGTGCCGGCAGAACACGCACGCACCAAGATCGGAAAAGCAAAAAAAAGGCAGCGCGACACTTTGTAGATGTAGACAGCGCGGATGTCATATTAACTACATTCACGGGGTGTGGTCCGCAGAGGGCCCAGTTCCAAAATGGCAGAATACTGTTCACCCGCGGCCGGCCGCTATTTTGTGCTATTTTTGCAGGTTTTTTTTATTTTATCTTTTTTCGCAGTTTCAAACTAGTGTACACTCGAAGTTGCTGTCACCTGTTTTTCCTGCAGATCTGGAACTCAAACCATGACCTGGACGTAGTTGTTTCGTATTATTTTGTAATGAATTTAGCAAACTTGAAGTAAGTGCTGTGGTGGAGTACCAGTCACTTGGGGATGAAACTAGACGGTCAGGAGGTCAATCCAGGGTTCAGGTGAGTGTCTCTTGCCGTAACAGGGAACAATCAATGTTTTTGGCCTTACAACATGCCTTCTAATCTTGGTAGAGATGTCCCTACCACTCTCTTACCACATGCCTTCTAATCTTGGTTAGCAATCTCTTCGAATCGTGCATCCAGAAGAATAAATATTTATTTCTGAGAATTCAAATAAGTGAGCATCACTAAAACAACGTTCTCTGCCTCTCTCTCTCTCTCTCTCTCTCTCTCTCTCTCTCTCTCTCTCTCTCTCTCTCTCTCTGTGTGTGTGTGTGTGTGTGTGTCTATCTGTGTGTGTACGTGCATGCGAGTGTGTGTGTGTGTGTGTGTGCTGTCTCTTATACACATCTAGATGTGTATAAGAGACAGCCCTCCCACACCGTGTGTGTGTGTGTGTGTGTGTGTGTGTGTAATGGCAATGGAGCACCAATACCTCTGGGTGACCCCCCTTGGCGTTTCTGCAACAGTTGGGTATGTCATTGATGGATACCTTGTTAACTGCACTTTATGTATTGACATAAATGCTGATGGGAAATGCTCCAAAACGGCGGATCGGTTTATCAGATCAAACGATCAGGGGCAATTTGAGTATACCATGGGAACAGAGCAACGGAGTGGGGACCTCATTCTGGATGTGTCAATAGACCAACCAGACTGCGTTGACCTTTTTCAAGGGTCAAAGCCGTCATTCTCAATGTACTCACTATATGGTGCTCGAATAGTATCGCCTTTGACTACGCTATTGTGGGCTATGGTGTCTCAGTATAGTCAGCTTGAGAGAAGTGCTGTGGAAGATATGGCCGTAGCGACTGTTGAGTCTGTGCTCAAGGGTGTGCTGAATGTCGACACTTCTGTCAGCATTACACGTGACGATCACTATGCTGCTGCAGTGGCGAATCGGAAGGGACAACTGGAAGCTGTTTCAAACATGATCAGCATCACCATGACCATTACTCAGGTGACTGTGTCCACTTGAAACCGGAGTAAATTCTTAAGTACATTTTCCGCATTCTCTCTGAATAACTGCATGTCGTCTCAAATTCTTCAGTATATTTTTAAGATGTGGAAGAAAGCAAAATCCACTTAAATTGGAAAAGGAACTGCACTGACGCTCCCCAAATAGAATGGAGCCAGGACCATATGGCCCTATTCGCAACAGAAAAAGGGGTATAGAGGTAAGTTAGCATGGCTACTTGCTGCCCCTCCATTTACTCTCTCTCTCTCTCTCTCTCTCTCTCTCTCTCTCTCTCTCTCTCTCTCTCTCTCTCTCTCTCTCTCTCTCTCTCTGTGTGTGTATATATATATATATATATGTGTGTATATATATATTTATACGTGTGTCTGATTATGTGTGTGTGTGTTGCCGAAAAACCACCAAGCAAAAACCCTTCTCCGCTAATCACCAGGAAAAGAACCATAAAAAATGTGCAAGCTGGCCTACATCTGTGTGGTTGAGTGGGAAGTGCCCTCATATTCGTCCACTTAATGCGCACTTGCACGAGAAATGACAAATCAGCAGGCAATCCCGACACTCCTGCTCTGTGGAGTGAAGATGCATGTGCCATCGTTGCCCAGCCACGTCAAACGAGGGAACAAAACTCCACCTAACTCATAACTCAACAACGACAAGCGCATCAAACGAGGGAACACAACTCCACCTGACTCATAAGTCAACAACGACAAGCACAAACGACACAGAACGACCGCTCACCCAATGCGATGAGAAACTTCAATGTGACACTCAAAGCACCTACCACCTCTCTCCTACGATGAGCCCTGAAAGGTACAGCCTGTGGGGATCACACCCACCGCCCAAGCCCTCTGAGTCTGTCCACGAACCCTACACAGCCCCAGGCAAGAAGCCAGAGGTGAAGAAGACAACCCAGCATTTCCCGAGCTTCTAAAGTCATTAAACCACCAGTACTTGGCCCATACATCGGCCGCGGGGCCCTCTCCACGACTCTTGGAGGCTGGTGGCACACTCTGGGCCGTTGATGTGATTTATCATCGGCCCAGAGGCCGCAAAAGTTGCGGGCCCGCGGCCAATGTATGGGCCAAGAACTGGTGGTTTAAGCTTTATATGGCACTGGAATCACTACTGTATAAAAGCCCTTAGGCCCCTACCCATCAGCTCTGAAAGCTACAGGTCACGGAAGTCTCACCCACAGCATGAACCTTTTGGATCCACCCACATATACCACATGACAACGGGGAATAACAAAGATGGATGACGCTCGACTATGGCCCGAAAACGTCGTGTGACACCAGAATCTGTTCCGGCTAAAGCGCCCTGGAAACAACTACAAAACCATGCACCCGAAAAACTCGGCCTCCGGGGATCACATCCTCAGTAAAGACTTCCTGAGTCTGCTCTGTGTGTGTGTTTGTGTGTATGCTTATCTTTCACAAAGATTGGTAAACCATCACTGCGAGGATCAGGAGAGCCAGAACAACTCATGTTACCGGGACGCTGGGCCCGGTTCCCAGCACGTGCCACTTCCCAGAACAAGCTTTGGGGAAAAAAAAGAAAAAAGAAAACCAGGATCAGGAAAGCCATCTGAACCAGATGACTGCCTTGAGGCAGCAGTAGTCTGTCTGGTTTTGGGTTGGCTTTGGGATCATAGGAGTTTTTGGGTCTCTTTAGAGTCCAAAGAGGGATCGCTTTCGAATTCATTCTCCCCTCTTTATTCCTTCCACCTGGTAGGCTGAGCTCTCTTCTGCGGCACGTCCCGAGCAATCGGCAAAATTTGGTTTGGGAACTCATATTTTGGTGATCCTCATCCGGTCTTCTTTGTGTGTCTTCCCCCCTGCAGATGGTCAGTCTGCTGCGAGCAATCTCTGATAAAATGGGTGGAGCTCTTGTGGACATCCATCGGGCGTCGTCAATTGTTGCGCAGGCATTTGGGAAGACACTGTTATCTACCAGCGGTACGATGGGTAGCAATTCGCATCGGAGAAGGCGGTTGCATGGCCTTGGTATGGACTCTTTTGAAGAGAGGATTGAATCTGATGGTCCGGGGATGGAATCTTTGACTTATTCCGATGTGGCAACGGCATCGGCATCAAGTGTGCTGGATTTGACAAACATAGAGAGCATTGTCATGCTTATGGAGGATATGGTACACTTCGCAACGACAGAGGGGGTATTGAGTAATGCTGACCTTCCAGGAGAGATGATTATCGCCATCTCTAACACCACCGCTTTGCTCAACCGAAGGCTCCATCCTGCTACAGTGTATTCGCACACAAGCCCCTCACAGTCTGAAGGAGACATGGGCAGCAGTGCCATCTGGGCAAAGATTGGAGGCATGGTGAAGGTATCCTTAGCATCCCGATCCCTATTGATTCAGGATGGTATCTGGGAGGTAGTCAAGGGCACAATGTCTGTGCGCGCATACGTCGATAAGACATCACCACAGGCGCTTGATCAGATCATCAATGCGACATTTCTTTCGCCAACTTTGTTGAGGCTCGGCAATATCCCTCTTCCCCCCAGCCCAGTTTCGCAAACACCACCCGTCATCGGTGCACCAAGGCCACCAACTCCACCAAGTGGCGACGTTCTCAACACCCCACCTGACTCGACCGACGAGCGGACAGCCCCAACTAAGGGATCCTTCTTTACAATGCCCATAATGATTGGATGCGGTGCTGGAGGGGTGGTTGTGATAAGTGCAATAGTTGGCATCGCGGTGTGTGTCTGTAGAAGGAGGCGAAAGGCAGCACAAAAGGTGAAGGAGCCTACGGAGTTGGAAATTAAGCAGGCAAAGGAGAGGCGCAGAAGCAGTGTGATCTTAGCCCGCGAGGTTAACCGGAAACTGAGTGAGCAAATGGAATTAAGAAGGAAGAGTATTGAGTATGCAAGAAAACTTGTCGAGCAACTGGAAGAAAGCACTTCTCAATCCCGCAGGATGAGTCGGTTATATCCAAACAGCAAGGACCTTACTGCCGCCCTGGAGGCCCACAAGCGCACAGAACTGCAGGAAAAGCTCGAGCGTGTACTCGTTGAGTCACAGTCAAGGCGGGGAAGCTTGAGAGAGTCCAGCCTGTCCAGGCGTTCCAGCATGCAATCTGCTGGTCTGAACACTGTCAGGGAAATATCAATAAGACAAGGATCAAGGATCGACGAGGAATCACAACTGGATGTCCAGGATGTTGACGTCGAGGTTACGCAACAGGAAAGGACCCGTTCACCTGGCGTAAACCGTACAAGACGATCCTCATCAACCGTCACCAGTCCTGACCGGCGGGAAGGTGCACAGGGGGACATCAAAAGAGGGCACCGCGGCCAGGTTTGGCCAGACCCTCAGGATGCTCGCAATAGAGTGGATCAGCAACCGGCGAATAATTCCAGTCCACAACCTCGCGAGTCCAAAGACAATAGACGAAGAAAAGAGAAAAGGTAGTCTTGCCCTTTAGAGTTTCGATGCTAAAGTGGAATGGCAGAAGATGCTATTGAAGGAAGGGAAATTCGGTCCTGTCATAGCTGGCAAGCCATCCTTCACTGGCCAAGCCGATGACAGATTCGAGGTGTCCACGGAGTGGTCTGTAACATGCTAAGCTCTATAGTCTTGACCTTAATTGTGTGCTATCTATCCAGGCTTTGAACACTAGTTAATGTGCATAGGAAACTGAAACATTGATAGGCTCGTCATATTCTAGTTTTGTGTCCTTCTCCCAACTACAACCCCTTGGTGAAATGCTGAGGCACTACGCAATGCCTCACTTCTTAATAATTGGACTTCCATGCAATGTTCTTCCTCCTATCCCATGTAACAGACAACTCTCTCTCTCTCTCTCTCTCTCTCTCTCTCTCTCTCTCTCTCTCTCTCTCTCTCTCTCTCT